AGTGGTGGGGTGGGGTAAGACCCTTTGTCCAGGGTGGGACACACACACACACAAACAGAGAAGGTACATGCATAAATAGTTCGAGATACGTCAGGAAAAACAGCAAGAAAGCAGGAACACACGTGCGTTCAATAAAATATGTGTCGAAGCAGATTTATTCCAGAAGCCACAAGAAGCCCAAGCAACACAAATGTGAACTAGCCACAAATCGTGAACTAGCCGCAACCTACAGCACGCATACCTGTGAGTACAAGGCCCACTAAAAACAGTCTTGAATCCGTTGGCATTATTGTTCTTCAGCTTGAGAAAAAGAAGAAAAGTTGCGAGCTTTGGTGAGAACGCTCAACTTCAAACAGTGGGTTTTGTGAAAGCGTACTTCTGGTTAGAGCGACCCGCAAAAATGCGCACTAGTAAGTGCGATGTGTTTTCTCTGAATGATGTCTTTACTCCAATCACAGGCACGATGCTGCCTCAGCTATTCTACAATGAACATAGGAAGCTTGTATATAGATAGTTTGGTGCAACGACTTCAACATCACAAGGAGTAGAAATGTTTCAGGTGGTGAAACTACATGAAACTACTGTCCCTTGCAGAAAGAGGTGCTCTCGGACGATGGCTGCTGCGGAGAAAAAACATATTTGATGCAGGCACGTCGTTCTAGTTTGCTGCTCAACATGGAAGTGCAACATCAACAAAATAATGGCATGGTACAATAAGTTTTCAGAAACTGCACTCACTACCATGCACCTGAAATGCCTGTTGGCACAAACTCATTGTGCAAGAAACATGATGTGTCCATACCCCCCACCTGAGTCGATGGAGGCCAGAAGCTTTGTCAAGCCCACGTCCTGCCTTATGAACCTGGGAGACCAAAAGTTTGTTGTCAAACTCATTGCAACATGTCCACCAAATGCTTTCCATGGGCCACGAAATGTCTCCTTGGGAGAACCGAACCAATGAAAAGTTGGTTTATGTTATTCCTCCGTTTTTTGTTGTGGTGCTTGGAGCGTCTTGTTTGTTTTTTGCGAGCTTCAGTGGTTTTGATGCACCTATCATCACCTATCGGCCCTGAATCAAAGGAGTCAAGCCAGTCAAGCCCTCAACGGCCGAAAGGCAAAGGCTCTGCCACCAGATCGTTTGGCTGCGCAGTTCTGTTCAAGCCATAAGTACTTTGGTCCAGTGATTGTCTTTGATTGTCTCTATATATATATATATGTTATAAGCTTTTCAGTATGATGAGCGACAATTTGTAGATATTTGTACTATGAAGCGGGCTTCGAGACTGTGAGGCATGATGAAACGATTGAGCCAAACAAATTGAGCCCCATCACAGTCTTAGGGGAACAAGGACGCTACTAGTAACAAAGGGCATCGCTACTAGGAGCAAGGACGCTACTAGGGGCTATTGTGAGATGGATTGAAATTGCACAATCCGAGTGCACTGAGGCCCGAGCTCATCTAGGAGAGATGGGTCCAACTCCGACAATAGAGCTGTGGCACGTCGACGAGCTGTTTCCATGTCCTGACTCTACGCTATTCTTTGTGACTCTACGCTATTCTTGGTGCAAGTGGCAATGCTAGAGTCTTGCAATTAAATGAGACTCAAGAAACTGAGAGAACGATATGCTGAGAAAATATTGATGCTATTCTTACGGGGTATGAGCACAGAACTATATTTCTCATAGAAAGAATTTGAATGCTGACGACATTCTGCTCCTGAATGCTAGTACCGGATCGTAAGAGCTGAGCCTTCCCAGGCTCCACCGCCTTCCAAGGTCAGGGCCATTGGCAGCCATTGGCCATCCCAACCAATTCAACCAGGTCCGCACTCATTCAAGGCTTTGAACCATCACTTCCAACGCTTCGAGGATCCAAAGCCAACTCACCCGCGATGTTTCAACAACAACTGGCAAAGCACGTTGCTGCCTCACAAAGACGGCTTATTTGATGGTCACGTCGCCAGCAAAGTGGCCAGCCCTGCAGCTTGGTGCAATCAAATCAAGAAAACCACTACTCACGGCCAGCCCTGCTCCACTTCAACCTTTCCCAAAAAGCTCAAAACCCCAAGTCCCAAGAGCTAAGATTATGCAGAGCCAATGCAGAGCTAAGATTGTCAAGAAAGGTTCATTTGGTCTAAAGATGATTCCTCGAGGATGGCCATTCTTGGAAGAGATTTGTTTGGAAGTGTATGAAGAGGTTCCATCTGCAAAGGACAGCTCTGCCTCCACGGAAATGCACCACCAAAGTTGCCCACTGCTAGTACGCCTCAATCCAGTCAAGACAGGAAGCGCTCCAAAAGAACAGGATTTTCCGTGTCCAAGAAGCGGTTCAAGAAAACCTCTTCAAAAGGTGTTCGGAGAGAGTGAGGAAATGATAATAAAAATTTAACAAATGTAGGCCGAGGCCTTGCCTAAGTGCCCTCGACTATGCAAAGAACTAAGAATGGCGCAAGTACCAAGGCAGCTTCAAGGTCATCACCGTTCTCCGAGAGATTCGCCGAGCTGAGTCCGGTTGGCAGCATTTGATCCGAGGCTGCTTTGTACACATGCCGTGTATGCTACAGATGCAATCACACAAAACAAAAAAACAAGTTCGTACATACGAATGACACGGCCTACCATACAATATAACATCCATCAATTACATTGATGGGGTGCTCGATTGCATGGAATGGAATGGTATAATTATGTATAGTTCATGCTTTCATCTATCACTCCAACTTGTGTCAGTCAAGTGGGTCAAGGCTCAAAGAGTTTATGGAGATCCAGAAAACGTTGCGATCCTATGTCAGCTACGTTCTGCGGCCTTTGGGGTGAGATGTTCTTTTCGGGGTGGAAAGGCAACTTCCAGGTTCATTTCCGATGTCGCTTCACTGGCTTCCCAGCTCTCAACGGTGCAAGGCAAGAGAGGAGTAACATGTAATGCAAGAGAAGCAAGCAAGGCAAGCAAGGTGCAACATGTGTAGGCAGCCTCTTTTAGGAGCAGTTTCTTACTGCGAGGCGTGGGTAGTTGCCAGAGGCACGATCAGAAGTGACCCAGGCCAGAAATCGATACTGGTTGATATCATATGTTGGAATCCAGCTTTGGCAGTGTGTTTCACCAACTGCAGAAGCGTCCATCTTGTTTGATCTTTTCTACACAAAAGTTGCTCCTCGACGATGATAATTCGTTCATGCTTGCGAACTGAGTCTACTGCCACATGAAAATCTCAGTGATGGGAGTAGATACAATTAATACAATGCTCTAAGTGATGAACGGACTTGATCTGGCCTTAGAACAATCTGAAAGGAAACCATGTTCACTCTGGCATTCATGTCAAGTGCGAACATCCAAGAAAAAGGATGTTGTCTTGTTGTTTAGTTTGTGTTCGTGCTTGACAGGAACAAATTATTTGCATTATTGTTGTAAAATGAGTAGAAGGTTGCGATCAAGTAAGCTCTTGGCTGTGGGGATACATCCTGGCACCAAGAGAAGTATCGACAAATCGTCCCATTCTTGAATAAGTAAAAGATCTTGCAGCATCATTGACAGGCGTCAGAGGCACTTTGGGTCATTGCAGTTCTACTCTAGCTGAACCAGGGGATCAGGGAATCTTTTATAGCAAGAAAAAAATATTAGATCAAGCAATCAAACACTGTGTTTCAACCTGTGTTGCATTCAGTTTCCAAAGTCATCTGCCCACCTCATCTTCCTCCATTGCCAACAAGTCACCAGAAAGGCTATGACCTCAGGCGGCAAAGCAGCTATGGTCTTTGGTTTCAATAATTTAGGGAACTCCAACAACTGGGGCGGCTTGATGATAGTCATTGTAGATTGGAGACTCATTTAGCGATAAATTTTGGGGTGTGACGTTAAGCAATACTGTCCCCATGCAAACAGTTTCGTTGCTACACTTTCAGCCTCAGACGAAGCCCACCAACATCTGGAGCATCCAAAGCCATCCTCGGGCCACAGGCAAAATACAATTAACTGGTGGTCTCGTAATGAAACTCAAGGGCAGTGCTTCACAAGGAAGCTGAAAGGTTGCCTAGTGTTCGTGCTTGTGGGTTCTCCTCCTTCCAAATGCAATGATATATATATATATATACCTGAGAAGGGAGGGGATGAAAGCCAGCCTCTGGCTTAGGGGGTGCTCTCAGGGTAGGCCCGGGCAAAGACTTGGCGTGCAAGAGGAAGTGATGGGGTAACATCGGGCAAAGAGTAATGTTATGGGGCGAAGTTGACATCGCAGCCACACCGATAAGGGGTAGAAATGGAAAGTAGTGCCCTTTTTTGCTCTGGTTCCGGGAGGAGTTGGAGGTGAAAAAGGGCACCCCTTCAGGAAGTGAGGCGCGCTTGCTGGTGGCGTGTTGCGAATCAGTGAGCAGAGACGGCGGTGGGGGTTCATGTGCGAGGCAATGGGTAGGGTCGTGGAGCTTGTATCAACGTGGAGTAGATCAAGATCGGAGCACAGCATGAAGTGTTGAATTTTTTAGGTTTTCTCGATTTTCCTGGCGCGGTGCTCTCTGGAGCGTCCCTGCTTGGTGGTCTATTTGAGAATCCGTGTAAAAATAGACGTCAGTGAAGACCAGGAGAAGGATGCCCGAAAGGTGGTTTTTTGGTTGTTTTCAACTGTGTTTCGGGCATCGTGCATCAATGCGAAGCCCTATAAAGAGCAGGGCTGGGAGGAAAAAAGAGAGCACTCATTCTTGAATGGTTGTAGCTTTCGGCTTTCGTAGAGCTGGTATCACTGCGACGTAGATGAAGATGGGAGCACAGCATGAAGCGTTGAACGCTTGCAGCTTTCTTGCTTCTCCTCTTGCGGTGCTCTTACCCCCAAGCCTCTACCTTGCCCAACTGGACATACTCACATCGTTCGCTCCCAGAGCGTTCTTGGTATGATCAGAGCTACACAGCCCCTATGCCCTGCTCAGGACTAGAAAAAAATTGTCTCCAGACCCCTTCATGATGCTGATGATGCACTACTCGGTGTCCATTGCATCACTCGCATCACCAGACCCCATTTTCACTACGTTTCTGACCCTCCCCCACCAAGCTCCGGGTTCACCCTCTCAAAAGGTGCCTTTTCGCGCCCTCCCCCCCCCCCACACCCCCTTAACTCACTTCGTTCGCTCTAAGAGCTCAAGCCAAGCCTATCGGCTGGCTTTCGTAATATTTGCATATATATATATATATGCATATTTGGAGAGAGAGAGAGAGAGTTGATTGAGAGTTGAGTTTCCATTGACTTTGGACATGACTCAATCAAGGGCCTACCAGACCACCAGAAGCGCCGAGCTCCACACTCAATCTCTTTGGCCTTGGCCGTTGGTTTGCATCTTTGGTCACACCGTTTTGTTATCTGGAATTCTGATCATTTGCCAGACCCTTGCTCTGTTGGCGCGTTTTCATGCATGGTGGATAGTTGTCATCTGATTCATCATGATCAGTTGCACTTGATGCAGTCTAGGGGCACGAGATGCTTCCTCTGCAAAAAAGATACCGTTGGTGCCATTGACTCCTGTGATGCGCAGGCTTGCACATGCCAACACGGACAGACTGTAAAGCTGAGGCTCCTTTGCCGCAGCCTCTCCCCTTTCGGTTGACATAATTCCGGTGCAGCCTCACGCCCTCGATGACTCAGCAAAACAAACCAATTGCGTCCTGCTTCTCCATCTTCTGGTGGGCGGATCCATTCCCCTAAGGGCCAACTAGAGTCAGTAGAGGTAATGTCCACCTCTGAACAATAACCCGCCCCCCTGATCAAGTGCGGGCCCTAAATAATGTGAACTCCAGAAAAATCAATATTGATTTGAATTGGAAATGAAAGGAAAGAAATGGAAATTAAAGGAAAGGAAAGGACATGAAAGGAAAATGAAAGGAAAGGAAATTGAAAGGACAATGAAAGGAAAGGAAAGGACATGAAAGCAATCAATGTAAGTAGTGCAGAAGGAATTGTAAAGGGGCTGAACCTAAACAACCATAGCCCTCAATAACCTTTCAATTGTAAAGGACGCCACCAAAAGAACCAGCTAAGCTAGGGATTGTTTAGTATTTGAGCTTTGGAGTAATTCAAGGCTTGGGCTGCTTGTGGGGGTTGGTCTTTGTGGGTTGATTTCAGGTTGCAAATGGCAATGCCCAAATAAGAATGTTTAAAAGGAAGTTGCAGCAGCCAAGTCAGAAATCCAGAAAGGGTTGCCTTCAAGAAAGCTCGAGCTGTTCAACCAAAAGGAAATCTAAAGGAATTGTAAAGGAAACCACCAAAAGAATCAGATTTTGGAATCAGCTGAAAGCTCAGAATCAGTTTGGATGAATCAAGGTCTGGAAGCAGCTGAAAATAATCGTTTATAAAAAAGGTACCATTTATAGTGTTTGAGAACATTTAGTATTAAATTATTCACGGACCATTTATAATTCAGATATCAACATCAAGGTTCAGGTGACTTGAATGTCTTCTAACAGTGACCCTTTCCAGCGCTCTGTATACAGTACATATATTTACAAATACAGTATTTAAACCTATATACATGTTACAACGCAAAAGCTGGGTTCAGAATTTGTCTGTCACCCATCTTTGAATTCGCAGTTTGTAGCAAAGACGGTCCCAGTTCTGACATCGTAAGAGCGAGACAATGTAACCCAGCAAGAGAATGTGTGTTCTGCACTACTGCCCTTGAACTTGATAAATGCTGAATGTCAAAAAGCATGTTTGCTGCCTACAAAGGGAAAAAGAAGAACACGTGGCAAAGGACAAATAGGGAATGATTTCCTATATGAAGCGATGTCAAACGCATCAGCCTTCCATGATTCCACGGCGCTTTCAGAATTTCAGCTCAGGGCTCCGGACGCTCCATCGGGACTGTCTCTGAGAGATCCTCTTCGTCAATGTCAGATGAGTCGTACGGAGTCCTGCTGGGGAATCTTATATTTGTTGAATTGAATCTGTGTGGCCAGCTTCTTGGTGTGGGCAAGGTAAAGGCTTTGGTAAATGTTTCGACAACCATTTCCCACAACAACGCAAGTTGACCCAGCCGTCCTATCGACACCTTGAACATCCTTCAACATACTACAAGATGTTGCGAAAGGCCTGCATTCACTCCCCTCATCAAGTGTTGTTCCTTGTTTAGATGTCAATCCCTATAGTTCAGGGGCCATGCATCAAACCACCACTGCTCCAGCTATATATCTATTTAATTCATCCACACTGCTCTGCACTGCTCTGATTCACATGCCTCTGGCGAACCAACGGAGCTTCTTCTTCTTCGCTGCTGGGTTCCCCGAGTGCCTCTGCAAGAAAAGTTCCAAGCTTCTTGAAACAAATCACGCAAATAGGAGCAAAGGGCATCGCTACTAGGAGCAAGAACGCTACAAGGAGCTTTTTCGAAGAAGGTGGGCAGCGCCCTGCAGCGGCAGCACCCCGTTGCAGCACCAGCACCCAAGCTCCAAAGTCCTATACTTGAAGTAAGAACCCCACTAGCTCTCGCTATCTGAGGAACTAAAGATTGTGGAATAGCTCAAAACACAGTCACAAGTCACACCCTTCGCCATTGCAAAGGTCAGCAAATTGAGCAAGAGAGTTCGCTAAATGCAGAAATCTGGTGCGTTGCTCTTAATTGCGTCTTCTGCTTTGTCTACAAAAAAATATCCAGGATGCAAGTCACCTTGGTATGGTCTTCATCTGACACCGGAATGAGTTCTTCTTGTGCCCTCTCGGCATCATCTTCGTTGTAGACCTTGTAGCGATCAAAAAGGATAAAGTGAGCTGTGTGAACAAGTAGCTGAGTTTACCTGCCTGGTCAAAAACTGTCAACCGGCAAATGACAATATATATGTATACATACAAGTGCATTTCGGGGTCAAGCAGTCGATCAAGATTACGAGTCGCACATAAGATGTTTGTGCTCAAAAATGCATGAAACAGCTCTGCAACAGCTCTGCAACAGCACATCAGCAGAAATACTCTGTGCTTCCGAGCAGTCGAGGATCTTGGAGAAAATGTCGCACCCTGAGAAAATGTGTTTTGTCTGTTTAAAGGCCATGAAGTAGCTATGTAAGTGTAGCTAAGTCTATCTAATTGTAGCTAAGTAGCAAGAAAGCTACTAGTCACCAGGACGAAAAGGGAGGGTGGAGCTTCCTTGAAGAAAACTTACGGTCACCTTACAGTAACCTTTAGAACCATTAATCATTAGATGATTTATATAGGTGAAAACACTAGATGTTGAGCCTTACCTAAAGGTAAGCATGAAAACCTTTATATAGACATATAGACGATTTGAGTGAAGGCAGTTGAAAACCTGTGGTTCGTAGTGAAGGGGAACCCCACATGCAAGTTCAGTGGGTCATTCCAATCAACCTTGTTTTGCTTGTGGGTAGTTGCAGTGCAATCCCGTCGATGTGTGTTAGTAGGTTCTGCCACATGCTTGACAAGGACGTGATGAGGCTTGCTCCAAGAAAATGCTATTTTCTGTCAACAACGCCCTTTATTCACAAGCATGTAGAGCAAGGTCTTGGAAGAAACTGGAACTTCTCAAGCAAGAAATGGGAGCAGGGGTTGGGAAAACGAAGAACGGTTGGTAATGAGGATTGAAGAACCCTTGCATCATTGCGGATTTTTCATGGCAAGTGTCGTTGAAGGTCTGGCTACACACAAGAATCTCCAAAGGCCTTGATCGATTCCAGATTTGCTTCGAGAAAGTAGTGCCTGTCGCGCTCTGAGCATTGCATGTGTGCTTGCAGCTCACTGTGAACAAAAGCAAAGGATCTCCAGGCAAAGAACACTACTTTCCAATAACTGTCTAGGTGTGTCTAGATCGGTCTTTTGCAAGTTCAGTTCTTTGCACCCTCAGCCAAACCAATCAAATGGGCAGTATGTTTTGGGCAACTGGGGTAGCCAACCTGATGGATTCGTCAGGTTCCAATTCGCAAAGTGCAATCCAAGCGCCCTGCAGCAGGGCTGGAATTTGTTGAGTCCAGTCAAATCAAAGTCAAACGTCGGGCATACCAAAAAGTACAGTTAGTTCCAAGGTTCCTTGTTGCTTTACAAACAAATGGCATGCTGCGGGCCACAATGTTCTTCTTGACAGAGTAGAACCACGTTTGCTTCATGGTAGTGACATTTGTGTACACTACAGAGCAGCATTCTTGTCTCTGCTCAACGTCATATCGATGTGGGGGGTACATAAGGTGAACACGTGGCGAGCGTAGAGGACAGTGAAAACAGAGGAGGAGTCTTGAAAGGGACTTTGTCTCATTGTGGTGCATGTCGTGGTTCCTCTGGGATGTTTATCTGGCGTAATCTTCACTCGGTGATTGTGTGCGTGTCTGGTATGCATATGATTATTCTTCAACGCAGAGTTGGTTGGGGAAAATCAGGCTCTCTTGGAAACGCAGCTATGGATTGCGCGTTCAAAGCGCGCACATACCGGGTGCCTTTTTGTACCGTTTCTTCTCGCTACGACAAATCTCGAAATGTATCAGCCTGCTCGCCCCAGAAGGTCTCCAACGAGAGAGTCTGGGCGTGAGCTTCAGTGTCACTGGACAGCCACATTCGGTCCTAAATATTCTGTATATAAAGCATGTGTATATATAGATAGAGAATAGTATTTATTGTACCATATTGATCAATACGAATAAAGACTTTACAAACACTCTTTATGCAAACAGCTTGTTGCTGGCAAGCGAGTACCAACATGTTTCTTGAATCCGCGAACTGGGCTCATGGCCTAGTACTCTAGCCTACCATCACCTATTACCCTTGCAGCACAGCATGTAATCTGTATGTAATCTTATCACCTATTACGCAGGCATAGCGGCTAGGTGCGGCATGATTTCGCTTCGGATTGAAGTGCTGGCCAAAACAAGTACAGTAACTATCGGGTCCTCTGTCACAAGCAGCAGTGAAACGAAGTGAGCAAGGTGACTTTAATGTCCATCAAAAAAAACGAATACAGTAACAAAAAAACTCAAGGGAGGGAAGCAGACCACTGCGAGAACCAAAACATGAATGGCGAAAAGAATGAACAAGTGAACAAGGAGAGAACCAATTCGACAGGCCCTCTGAGCACCGCACCCCCAGCCCTGGAATTGAGGCAAGTTGCCAGTTGGTCCTTGGATCAAATGGATCTGGTGACCTGCCAAACCTGCCCTACAAGTAAGGAAACACACTTGCTTTGTGCATTGTGATATGGCACATCTGAACCCCCGAGTCCGTGGCCAATCGATATAGCTGGTAGCCAAAACCACTGTAACCTGCAACATGCAGTTCTCTGTCGCAAGTTGTCAAACCAAGATCCAACCAAGTTATACCAAGTTCTTCTTTTCAATTTGTACAGTGGTTTCATCAAAATTTGCTTGATCTGCAGTTGTGGTTTCAAAACCAGCTGCTAGGCCCCATCACGTAGGTCTCGGTATCGAACTTCACTTCGCTGCGTTCAATGGACTCCTCAGTGCTGAATCTGTGTACTAATTGTCCTGAAACGCTCAAGCATATTTGGGATAGATACATAATTTTGCGGGACTCATCTAGAAGGTTGAATGAAGAAAGTAATGAATCATGTAAGTCTTCTTTTTATATAACTATGTAATTTGCTTACTGCATGAATTGCTCGCCAGGTATTACCAGGTCCTGCTTGTTTGTCGAGGCGACCTTTCAACTGGAATGCCTGGCTTCCTTGAGGCCGTTACCCATTTGCCGTCGATGAGGCGCCAAGTCCCCTGCAAAAGGCTGTCTTCAAGTATCTTTTGCAGTAACTCTTCAACCGCAAAGTCTTGGGATGATGGTCCACCAGGTGGTGATCGGCGGGGCTATACGTTACACGCAAATTGTCTCCTTTCGCTCTCTTTGTTAGCAGCTTGGCAAAAAATTGGAGAGGCTTCTTTGACATTTGCTTGCCACTCGCATTGCGCAGCGTCGTGCACTGATTGGGTCTGCTATTCGTACAAGCACAGTAAATCCATAAGATCCAGGTTACATTACAGTCAACATCAGTGAACCCAATCACATTTGCAGTGAGTCTGGGTCTGGAACACCCGCCGAGAGCAAGCCTTTGGGTCATCTGGATCCCCTACAGGTAGAGGATGACTGCGATCTGCTACCTGAGTGAAGCAACGATGCACCTACGAAGCTGTCGATATGCTTGGAAACAAGAACGCAAACGCAACCCTTGTAAACGGTGAGCATCAAAAGCAATTGAGAGCGCAGCAAACAGGCGATCCAACAGCATAATGGGCAATGAGATCGATGGATTTTTTCTGGCCTGCGTGCCAGGATTGATTGAAAGGACTGTGTACAAATTGGAAACAAACAAAAAAGCATGAATGGCAGCTGACTGCCAAAAAACAAGGTCCACGGCTCTGCCCTGCATCTATCAAATCTCATCTGGTCTTTGAAATGTACAGGTGGGCCCACACGCATCTGTGCACCGCTTCAACACATACACTTCCAACAACAGGCTCACTAGGTACAAATAATGTAAGAAAACAACCAGTAAGTTCGTCATGGATAAGACCAAGCACTGCTTCCAGTGAGAGTGGACGCGACACCGGTGTCCCATCTTCAATTATTGGATTGTGTTCGACAACATGCCTTGACAAACGCGAAAACAGGAGAGGCAACGATGCCGGTCAGTGTTGATCCTGGAATATTTGTCTATCCTATGACCTTTAGTTTTTGTATTCCTTCAGGAGTCCAGGGCAAATTTGTGTTGTTCTTCTTTGGGAGGGTTGCTTTCTTGACAACTCGTTTTGGCGGATTTTCCTCATCTCCAAAAGCATAGCAAATATCGCCACCACGACGCTGTGCCTCGGTGTGTTCTTTCCAGGTAGGCCGTGGAGGGGTAGGAGAGGAGGTGAAGGTATCGAATGGAGATGGTGAAACTAGTACTGTAAGTAAAAAGTATGTAGGAATAAAGGAAGAAACTTAGATTAAATAGATGAGTAGATGAGTAACTTATATACATAGATTAATAACCAAACTGAGGCTAAAAGGGGCAGGCCGGGGAGCGAGTAGGCCGTGACGGGGGTGAGTGGGAGGTGGGCTTAACGCAAGTAAGCCAAGTAAGTACAGTAGCTGATAAGTAAGCTACTAGTAGCTTTTAAGTGTCCTTGGCGTCCGGACGTAGTCTAGGGCTCAGTTTTATTGGTTTGTTGGGAAACTTATATAACTAGTCAAAAAGAAACGTTTAAAAAATATAGTTTCCTTAAATTTCAAAGACCCACATGAATAGTGCGAGCACTTCTTCAAGGAAGTGTGAGTTTTCCTGCGCCCAGGTGGTTAATAGCAACCTACTACATAGCTCATTAGTAGCTACCTACACTACTTACCTTTTTCTACCATTAGCTATACTTGAGCAAGCTACCTCTATCCGCAGCCTACCAACCATGTAGTAGCTATAATTGTTACTTGTGCAAACAATTTTCAATTCGCTTATGGAAACATCCCCGAAAGAAAAAAAACGCATGGTGGAAAAAAGTGAAGTCTGAGAGTTTCAAACACAACAGCAAAAGGAATCATCAAAAAAATATAAACAAACATATAAACAAACGAATGATTGTTCATACCACTCGGGCACACCTGCGTTGAGAAGAATGCAAGTTCATTTGTCCCTTGTATGTAGCTTTGGCTAAACACATGTGTCTAGAATAGCGTTTATGTATGTGTATATATAAATATATGCATGAAGAGATATGCCGTCGTGCTCTCAACCATGTTTACGCTGCCTATTCGCACATCAGTGTGGACAGACTTTTTTGATAAAATTTACTGTAATGACAATGCACGCATGGGTTCAAGTGTTTTACATGAAGAAAAACAAGTTCGTGTGCGTTTGTCCTCGGGTTGCCGCCATCATCCGGGCAAACTTCAAGATTCCGCGACCTCATGGGTTCCAGCTGCCAATTTGATGCCGGATTTGCTTTGAGGTCTGAACGCCTAGAGCTGAGATCCAAACAAATGCACACCCATTGACGGAAGACAATCATCGTTCACACCGCTCGCTGGGAAAAGGGTCTTGGCACGGTAAATGTTACACCTGATGTCTGATCCTTTTGGACCCATACAGCCAAATGGGGGGAAAACACTGAACTATCGTTCGGGCTCTTTTAAAGGAGGATGCCTGTTCACTGTTCACGGCCTGCAGCCCAACTTCAAGCTGTTCAATTAAGTCCGGAGGGCAAAGGCACATAGAATATTCCAAGTTCTAATGTATGTAAACAACGTTCTAAAGAACTACAGTATGAATATCATTTTATGTCTTTGCATAAAAATATATATATATACCTATATACAATATTCTAAAAAAAAATGTATATATATATATGCAGTATGCCGCAAATCTTTTCCATCCGTCACATGTTCACAAGGCAGCAAGGTCATGCTGCGGCGCATCAATCCCAGGTTCCTTGTCGGTAGGGGTAACGCCATGTGGTACACGGCAAGCCGAGTTGCTCCCAAAGCCGTGCTCTACTTGGGGCCTCACTTTGACGGAGGATAGTCAATAAGCTTAGATGGAGAGGTCGGTGTCCCAGCCATAAAGTGATGGAGGTTTATGTCCAGCAGACGACCTCCTTGTTGTTCCTGAAGAAGATCCCAACTAAGTTGAGCGCTTTGAGGTTCCCTGGTGCAGCTGCAGGCAAAAAAGCAAACCTGTCAGAACCCAGCAAATCGGGGCCCTCTGGTTTCGCTGCCTCATAAACTGCTCCGGCGCGTCTAGCCAAGCCTTCCCATGTCTTCCCAAGAAAGCCAGAAGGAAGGGCCGGCAACATACCTCCTCTGCGCGCGCCAAGAGGTGTAGCAAAAGCCTGCAACTGAACTCCTCCCATCAACGGTGCCCAAAGTAGGACACTCCTGTCACTCAAACCCTCTGGCGGAGGCGATCGCCGACAGGCTCCCCTTCGCCTGCGATCGCCAAGGTCAACTTTTGGACTGCTTTGGTGAGTGAGTACTCTGATTTCTCTCCTCAGGGCTTCCGACTCACTCATGCACGTAGCCCTGCAGGCGAGAAAGGGCACGGCGACGAAGTTGTGGATGTTCTGGAACAGGAGAAGAAGGCTGAGCCTGTAAAGAAGTGATGGAAGTGAAGTTTACAAAATCCAAAGTCGAAGAAGGAGGCACGAAGCAAAGGCCTGAGAGGAGAGGAAAGAGGATGGGAGAGCCAAGCATTAGGTGAAGAGAGCAAGTCCCTCAGACAGAACAGCGCCCCACTGCATTCACTTTCAGAAGCTTGAGGACGCGCGTTCAAATCAGAAAAGTCATACATATATAGATAAATACCTGAGAGGGGAGGGGACGAAAGCCAGCCTCTGGCTTAGGGGGCGCTCTTGGGGTAGGCTCGGGCAAGGACGCGGCGTGCAAGAGGAAGTGATGGGGTACCATCGGGGAAAGATAAAATTCGTGGTGCGAAGTTGACACCGCAGCCACAGGGAGTGGAAATGGACAGTAGAAGATATAGGTCCGGGGGGGAGCGCCCTTTTCTGTCCTTGTTTAAGGAGAATTTTGAAATGAAAAAGAGCACCCTGGAAGTGAGGCGCCTTTGCCGGCGGCGTGTTGCAAACCAGGGAGCAGAGACGGCGGCGGGAGTTCACGCGCGAGGCAAAGGGTAGGGTAGGTGAGGAGGTCCCCGTATATAGACATCAGTGTGCAAGGTAGAGTGGAAAAAGAGCAGCAGGAAGTGGTGAGGTGGATATGGGAGCGACGCGCGGAATCAAAAGGTATGTCCTTACGCAACATATTACTACAGAATGTGCCCCCCAAAAAGAGAAAATAAGTATAGAATTCCTTGGAAAAAACTAACGTCAAGTAATAAAGGCTAAACACATTGACAACCCGATCAATCCGCATGTAATGAAGAACAAATGTCATATTCTAAGAAAGAAGTACAACCTTCATTGAAGAATTTGCATACCCCCCAAATTTGGAAACTATAGTCAGATCATTTGTGTAATATTTGGAAACCACCCGAGACGTACTAGTCACAGCGTTTCTTTTCGGCCAATCGCTAAAGATGGAGCGACTGTGGGAATCCGGCGACGCAGACGACGCCAAAGCATCACACCCGACGCAACAACGCCCGCGTGAACAAAGAAGTCACAGCTTCATGAATTCCTGCGGACTGATTCGAGTGAACTTAAATCGCCGGAAACGATATGGACTCCGATCGACTCTGCATGCTGAGGAATGTGAAGGGAAAAGACTTTCCCTCAAGTTCCCCCACTTCCCTCAAGAGGAAAAGCAGTCCAGGTAATCGCGGCGCGCCGAGAGCCGGGAAATGACCGCAAAATAGCCTTGCGAGCCTTGCAAGAGGGGGTTCATATTAAGGGCCTATGGGCGAGGCTATTAGCAGGCTTTCATGGGGATACATATATATCTATATATATATATATATAGGTAGAGTGGACAAAGAGGAGCCGGAGGTGGTGAAGTGGATATGGCGGTCATTCGAGATAGAATGGAAATAGACAGTAGAATGCATAGGTTTGGGACGGGGCGCTCTTTTTCGTCTTGATGTCGGGGCGTTGTGGAGGTGAAAAAGGGCACCCCTGTAGTCCGGGGAAGGTTTGGTATGGTGTGCTGGTCTATGTTTCAAGTGAGTTGACGGCTGGCTTTCGTGATTAGATACTCCCCATATGGGGTGCCCTTTTGAGTCCACCAACTAGACCTTGCCACAGATTAAAAAGGGCACCCCTAAGCAACTCAAAACCTTCCGCCTCCAACGCGCGCCCGCAACTGCAATCTGTTCTCTTTCCTGCTCTCCAGTATACGGAGACTTCTAACCAGCTTTTCACATCCCCTTGTCTTCCCTTTCCTCTCATCGACGTGAACTCCCACCCCTCGTAAAAACAGTTTACATGGCCTCCTGAGCCCCTCATGATGCTGATGATGCACTACTGGCCGTCAATTACATCACTGGCATCACAACACCCCAAAAAAACCACTCATTTTCACTACCAAGACGTGTATGGGGTGAAGTTGGCATCACCGGTGCGTGATAGGAGGTAGAAACAGACGGTAGAAGTAAACAGGGGGGCGCCCTTTTTCGTTCTGGTTGAGGAGTGTTTTGGAGGTGAAAAAGGGCACCCTCAAAGATTGCACCTGAGTTCGTCAGCTGCGTGTTAGTAATGAGTCATGAGTGACCAGAGACGGTTGTGGGCGAGGCCATCGGCAGGCTTTCTCCCCCACCAGGCTCTGGGTTCACCTCTCCGCAAGTGACCACCCACGCGACCACCCCCCCCACACACCCCCTTTACTCACTTCGTTCGCTCAAGAACCTCAAGCCCAGCCTATCGGCTGGCTTTCGTGAATATATGTATATATATATATATATTTCTTTTTTCAGGAGCTTAGAGGGAACCACGTCCAAGCCCGTCCAAGCCCATCCTATTTGTCCAAAGCAAGAATATCTCAGCTCCAAACACAAGGCTCGAGACACCAAGCCTAACTGCATCGGGCTGTCTCGTAGTTCTCCCCTGCAAGATATCAAGATGGTCCGGAATATCTTGCAACACATGTAGACCAACAAAATGCCATCTACATGATCCATAACGATCCTATGTTCCGAGGATCTAACACAAATCAACTCGGCATATCTTGTCATCCCAGTTCTAGTCCAGCAACATTGATGCTCATCCGAGCTGCTTGCAGCCACGACGTTGGTATGCAGTACCCAGCATCCCGAAACGAACAGTGAACAGGGACTGGTCCAGGAATTGCTTTCAGAAACAAAGGGAAAGGAAAAGGACATCCTTTCGTGGAATGGCCTTTAGAAAAAAGAACACGGAAAGTTATATATATGTTGATTGCATTCGGCATGAGCACCAGTCCATATGCCGGTCGTCGAGGGACCACCTTTGGCACGAGTTCCGCAGGATGGAAAAGAGGTGCGCCCACATGTGGTGGTAGGATCCACCTCGAGGTTTTTGAGATTGGTAGCGGAGCCCTGAATAGCAGGGCTCCGGGTAGATAGGATTCTACTCCGGATCATTCGGCATGAGCGCGGCTGCTAGTTCGTCAGATTCCACTGGCCTTCGATCGTTCAGTGGAGACTCAGAAGACGCCAAAGAGTACAAGCGATGGAAAGTGTGGGTGAGCAATAAATTGCTCACCGTTGCTGACAAGGTTCCTGAACACGCCCGTGGTGCCTACGTGTACACCCTTTTGTCTGGCAAGGCTTTGGAGTGTGTTGAACATCTTGACCCCAGCAGCTATCAGAAGAAAGATGGCGAGAAGATCCTCTTCGAACGCCTGGACCAACGCTTCCCTCAGAAGGATGCTTCCGACGAGATGTCGGAAGTTTTGACCGAAGTGTTTGCGGTCAAGGCTCATGAGGGAGAGTCGTTAAAGGCCTGGATTTCACGAGCAACTGAACTGTTTGAGCGTTGTCAACGCAAGGTCAATGTCAACTTCCCCGAGGAGGCTCGTGGTTGGATGATCTTGCATCGATCTGGCTTGAGCGATGAGCAAAAAGCTGTTGTCCTGGCCCGTTCATTGGGAGTGTTAAAAAGGGAAGAGATCGGTCGTGCTTTGCGCTCTTGTTACCCCGACTTCATTGTTGGTAAGAGACGTGCTGCAGGTATTTCTCTGATCGAGGATTCCCTATCTCCTGACGATGACAAGGTTGCTGAGGAGGAGTTCGACGAGCTGGAACAGTTCCTAGCAGAGCATCAGGTCGTCACCGAAGAACCTGATGAGTTGTTCGATGAACCCGACGTGGCTGAGGCCTTGGCTGTGTCTTGGAAGGAGAGGAGAAAGCAGATGGGTCAACTCCAACGTGCCCGTCGTTTCAAGCAAGCTCAAGATGTTCGACGATCCTTCAAAGTTGAGATTGAAGAGTTGAAACGTCGTACGAGATGCAACAAGTGCGGTGCTGTCGGACATTGGGCACGCGAGTGCAAGTCAGGCAAAGGCGCCTGGAACAAGTCAGCATCCTCAAAAGGTTCGTCCAAGGGCAAGGAGTCAGCGGCCGCTATGGTTGTTGAAGAGCATTTCATCGCCATGATTGACATCCTGCCGTCTACCTGGCGTTCCTTACAGTGGTTGCGAGAGAAGCAACAGAAGTGCACAACACAGACTGAAGAGCAGCTGCTTGTGAGTTCACCGGGTTTCGGAGTGTTGGACTCTGGGTGCGGTCGTTCCATCATCGGGTATGACACTCTGCAAGAGTTCAAGGACTTGTGGAAGGCCCGACAGATGGAGGCTCCAGAACCTTTCTCTGAGGTGAATCACTTCAAGTACGGAAATGGCCACAAGGAGATGTCCAAACAGGCCATTCGTGTGCCTGTCAATCTTGGTGGCAGGGTCGGAACCATCAAAGCAGCCATTGTCCAGGGGCAAGCTCCCTTGTTGATCTCCCGTAGTGCACTCAAAACCCTGAAAGCCACTATCAACTTCGAGACGAATGAACTCACTGTTTTCGACGATCGTGTAGTGATTCCATTGGCCACCAATCAAGCTGGCCAATACACTGTCGATTTGCTTGGTGATCCTCAGGGATCCAACAGTGCTTTTGAAGAGGTCATGATGACCACCATCTCCGATCAGGTCAGTGCTCCAACCCTCGACGTGTCGGGTAGTGAAAGTCCGGCCATGTCGACCGCCGACCTCATCGATGAGAAGCTGATGGCTCCAGATGCAGGTCCACCGTCGTCAGAAACAGCATCATGGAGTAGAGTGGACACATATGTCAATCATGTTCCTTCCCTAGGGAAGCAGGGTCCTAGGTGGAATTCCATTAAACGTCGAATTGTGACCGATCTTGACACTCATGAGGTCCTTTTTGATGAGGCAATCGATCCGAATAAGGGTAAGGCTAGGTATCGCCATGCACTTCCTTCGAACGTTTTTCGATGCCAAACCGAATTTCTGTACACGCCACAGGAAGAATGCCTGACCTTGGAGAGCTTGCCCAAGCATCACCTTCGTCAGTTGGAGGCCATTGTGCAGGAGACACTTGCCGTTCAAACTCATGATAAGTCACAGCAGTCACATGATCAAGGTAAGACACTGTTAGTTGCCGAAGTCTTTTCACCTCCTCGATTCAGTCCAGTAGTGGAATCGATGGGTTTCGCAGGCCGATCATACGACTTGATCAATGGATATGATTTCCGTCGTGCCGCTGACAGGTTCGCTGTGAAACAAGAACTGAGTGAGAGACCTCCCAAATTGCTTGTTCTCTGCCCGCCTTGCACGGACGAAGGTGGTTGGTTCAATCTAAACAGCGTGTACATGGCTCCAGCCGAACGTGCAAGACGCATCGCTCAGAGTCGCATGTATATTCGTTTTTGCTGCCAACTGTTCGAGCAACAAGTGAGATTAGGAGGTAGAGTGCTTTTAGAACATCCTCAGGGATCCAAACTGTGGACCTACCCGGAAGTCCAGGCTTTGAGTCAAGAACATCACTTGGTTCTCTGTCACATGTGTAGGTATGGTCTCAGGTTACCTGGTTCTGACAAGCTCCTCAAGAAGGGTACTCATTTGTTGGTCAGTCATGAAGACATGAAGACTCTGGCTAAAGAATGTCCTGGTCAGCGACATCCCAAACATTCCTGTCATCAACACATCGCCGGCTCTGTTCCCGGGGTAGGTCAGGTAAGTACCTTCGCCGGGCAATATACTCATCAGTTCGTAGAAGCCGTGTTATCAACCATACCGTTGTTCAGGAAGCAGGAGGCAGCAAATTGTGCAGCATGTCCACCATGCCCCGAGCAGAAATGTCAAGAGGTCTTGATGGCGAAAGCAGACCTAGGTAGCGATGTTCCCGACGACCAAATCAAGAAAGTGCTTGATCGTCTGCGCAGGAACCTTGGTCATCCACCCGTGCACGATTTGATTCGACTGCTGAAGCACGCTCAAGCCAGTCAGAAGGCAATTGAACTTGCTCGCCAATATGACTGTGATCTGTGCAAGAGCCAGATTCGACCACACGTGCCGCTACCGGCCAAGACTAGTCGAGTGTCAGGTTTCAACCAAGTGGTAGGCCTAGATGTCAAGAACATCCCAGGGTGGTTACCAAATCAGAAGATCAAAGCACTAAATATTGTTTGCCATGGGAGTTGCTATCAACTGATGATCCCGTTCTTTCAAGCAGAGACCTCTGAACTTCTTCGAAAGCTGTTCACTGACCACTGGCTTCGTATTTTCGGTCCTCCTAAAGTCGTGGTTCTCGATCAAGCCAGAACAAACATGGGGGACGCGCTTCAAAATCATCTTGACTTGCAAGGCACCGAAGTGCGACAGATCGCAGGCGAAGCACACTGGCAGCTGGGTAGGACAGAAGTTCATGGAGGTTGGTTCGCCCGTATTCTCACAAAGGTCATTGCTGAGCATACCCCCGAAAACCAGAAGGCCTGGGAAGAGTGTGTTACACATGCGCATGTCAAGAACCAGATGATTCAAAACTATGGGTACACACCTCATCAACATGTTTTTGGTCAGAATCCACGCATTCCTTCTGATTTGCTGGACGAACCACTTCACGTAGTGCCGGCCACTGCAAGCCTCGATGAGACCAGTCTGGCACAAGCACAGGCCATCCGGTTGTCCGCTCGCAGAGCCGTCATCGAAATGCAGGATAGCATGTCTCTTCGTAAGGCCTTGGCAGCCCGACCACGCCTGCATCAGGTCTTTGAGCCAGGATCCATGGTTGCCTACTGGAGACACCAGAAATTCCAACAAGGTCACGGGGTAGTTTTGGGAGGAAAGTGGTATGGTACTGCCATTGTCATCGGTCAAGTGGGTAGGAACTATGTGATAGCTCATCGCAAGCATATCTTCCGTTGTGCCCCTGAGCAACTGCGTCCAGCCACGTCAGAAGAAAGCACCTTAGTCAAGACGCCCCAATCCGAGTTGTTGGGTATCAAGGATTTGATTCAAGGAGGCACTTTCCGTAGTCAGAACTTTGTTGATCTGGTTCCCGGACATTATCCACCCGAATTGCAGACTGATCAAGTAGGTGAGGTTCCAATGCCTAGTGATTTGCCTGTAGCCCCCGGGTCGGTGCGTCATCCTGTCCATGAGTCTGACCCTTCGTCTCATCATTCCACAGATGTCGACGATAGTAATTCACGACCTCCTGAAAATCCATTGACAAGCGAAAAGATTGAAGAAGAACCGCCAGTTGAAGAGAACGCTGCACCTGGACCTGCCTTGAAGACTTCGAGTTATGGCCCCGTTCGTTCTCGGTCTCGAGTGCCCATGAAAAGTGGGCCAGCAGCACTCTTTCGACCAAGACCTATGCTGCAGGACGATTTCGTAGACCTCATGACGGAAGTAGTTCCCAGACTCATCACCGAACACATCGATAAAGCACCAGCCGTAAATTGGGAAGCTGATCCAGACAGCATGCAAGACGTGTCCAGCGGTCCCAGCAGTGGTAGTGGTCTCAAGAGGTCTGCCGACTCGCTAGTGACACCTGAAGAACCACCCGCTGTGCGCGCCAAGACTGATGAAGCACAAGAGTCACTGACCTCACAGCTGGCACATGAAGTCATGTCAGTGCAGGACTGTCAACAATTGATGCAAGTGTGGGACCAGAGTCAAGACATTGAGGTTCTGATTGCAGCATATCTCCAGAAGAAAGCATCTAAGGAGATACCTGCTGTGGGAAACGAACCTCTTGTGCAGCAAATGGTAGACGAGTCCAAACTGGTCGAATGGTCCACCCTGATGGAGAAAGGAGCTATTCGAGTCCACACCGGTAAGAAAGCAGCATATTTAAGGAACAAATACCCAGAACGATTCATGGGCAGTAGATTCGTCATTGTGAGAAAGCCGTTAGAAGAAAACCTCCACATTGACACTCATGATCCGTCCACTTTCCGCATCAAAAGCCGGTGGTGTTTGCAAGGTCACTTGGACCCAGATCTCGATCAAAAATTGGATGAGGGACTATTGCAGAGCCCCACACTCAGTCAAATGGGACGTATGATACTCATGCAAGTCATATGTTCACATGATTGGGATTTAAATTTGCAGTTAGGCGATATCAGAGGAGCCTTCCTAGAGGCCGGACCCCTTCCAGAAAGATTCAGACCACTGTTCGCAAAGCAACCACAAGGGGGTATCCCAGGAGTCGAGTCGGACGCTGTTTTAGAGGTGATTGGAAATGTCTACGGACAGAACGACGCTCCGTCGGCATGGCATCGAGCATTCGATCAAGCGGCCACTAACATCGGTTGGGAAAAATCCACTTTCGACTCCTGCCTTTACTTTCTTCGCGATCAACAGGGTTTGGTTGGTATCATGGGTGTTCACGTCGATGACACAGCAATAGGTGGAAAGGGAACCCTTTTCGAGAAGGCAGTGCAACAACTCAAGGACCGATTCCCATACCGAAAGTGGCGGGTTCAGTCAGGAGAATTTTGTGGAGCTTTCTACACACAAGATCCCAAAACTAAGAGCATATCAATGTCTCAACAGACCTTCGCTGAAGGGATAAGACCTGCCCACATTCCTAAGGGAGCAAACAATGATCAACCCTTAAATGACCAACAGACCAGGGTTCTTCGGGCGATAAATGGAAGCTTGAACTGGATCACTACTCAGTCTAGACCAGATGCTTCAGTTCAGACCAGCCTCAGTCAGCAGTGTTTTCCTCGACCCACTATCAAGAACCTGAGGGAAGCAAACAATGCTGTTCGAAGAATCAAGCAACATAAGGACTTGACGATCCGCTTCCATCCAATCGATCCATCACGACTCCGGATCTGCTGTCACTCTGATGCTGCATTTGCGAATGTTGGAACTCACACTCAGGCTGGATATGTTTTGTCCTTTGTAGATAAAGAACTGAATGAAGGAAAGATTTCTCCTTGGACACCAATTGTCTGGCGCAGCTACAAGTTGCCCCGGGCTGTGAGCTCCACGCTCGCTGGAGAGAGCCAAGCTCTATCCACTGCATCAGGCACGGTCGAATGGATGAGTCTGGTTTTGAGCGAAGCCCTGGACGGCAGTTTCGAGCTAAGACAATTCCTGGAAAGGCTTCAAGCTCGATCACCGATCCTCACCACAGACTGTAAATCGTTGTATGACCACCTGATCTCACCGTCCTCACCCACTGCGGTGGAGGACAGACGAACAAGCATCGACATCGTCATCATCAGAGAATCCATTCGTAGACTTAAGGCTTTCATGAGATGGCTCCCCACGAACCGCATGCTCGCTGACGCTCTCACTAAAGATAAACTAGACCCAGTAGATCTTCTAAGAGCTTGCATGAGAAGTGGAACATACCAAATCTCACCTGAGGAACATGTATTGGCTCAACAGGCTGCCGAGAGGGAACTTCGGATGCAGAGACGCCAACTAGCATCCAATCACTCCCCTGACAAAAATGCAGAGCCAATGTGCGATTCCGTAATTCACTCAGAACCATGAAATATATCAGCCTTGCTTGAAAGACCATAACATCTTGAATAGTGTAAGATAAGATAGTCAATTTGGGAGAGTATCTTGTGGAAGCACTATGCAGCGCAAGTCTTCAAAGCATGTGTTGTTTCTAGTATGCTGGTTTGTGTAGTGCAGTGCATGTTTTTCACCTGTTAATGTCCCTGCAGCCTCCTTTGATGTGAGCACGATCCACATCTCAAGTCAGCCGGTCTAGACCAACCATGGCTTGGACCTCAGAGGATGCCAATAAGCTGCAAGAGCTGTTGCAGAAGGCAGCCGCCAACGGTGTGAACCCCCTCGCGGCTTTTGAGAAGACCAGTCGCCACCTCCAAGATGATGGTTTTGAGTTGGTGACCCCTGGTGGCATGTCTGACGCTACCAAGCGTCTGAGTGATGACCAAATGCCCATGGTCAAGAAGCCAAACCAGAAGGGATTGACTTCGCCCCTTCAGACTGATGGTTCTGTAGGATACTATGTCAAGGATATGGTACCAGTCCCACTCCCCAGCTCGTCGCTGGATCCGACTACATCCGATCTACCAGCTGGAGTGAAGAGTTTGACTCAATGGAGCCAGTCGATCATCGGTTTTGGCAAGTTCAAGGGCAAGGGAATGAGCTATGCTGATTTGCTCAATGCCGGCACGGAGGAGACTCAGGGATACATCAAATGGTGCAAGTCCCGTCAGTCCAATGCGGGAGGAGAGTTGGCTGATTTGGCCAATTTTCTAGTGCGGTATGAAGCTGAGCAATGCATGTCAGACAGCTCCCTTGGAGAGGTCATCGCAGGCACGAGCACGAGGAGGGTCTACAAGTCATGAAACATGCCATTCACCCCGATCGGCTGTAGAGGTTTGTGCACTGCAGAAGAGACGATTCATTCGCCTTTTCTATAGAAGAAAGAAGATTATAAGCAGTGTTGATTGCATTCGGCATGAGCACCAGTCCATATGCCGGTCGTCGAGGGACCACCTTTGGCACGAGTTCCGCAGGATGGAAAAGAGGTGCGCCCACATGTGGTGGTAGGATCCACCTCGAGGTTTTTTAGATATATATATATATAATATTATATATATATATGTAAAAGGAATTATCTTTGTTGAATTGCTTGTTGAAAGAAGGAAAAGGAAATGCAAAGGATTTTCCTTTGTTGAATTGCTGTCACAAGGCAGCAAAAGGAATCAAAGATCATCTGTTGCTCTCCGGTGTCCTTCAGATTTGCTGGTGTCGAGCCATGGAAACAAGTGGCTCAGACGTGAATCTAATTTCGCTTGAAAAATCTTCCGAGCCACTATACAATTAGGTGCCTTTGGGCTAACCCCTCCAACAAGAGTCTTGCCGTCTTGCCTTTTGGATAAAAGGGATCAGACTAGAGTGTCGGAATGTTCAGAGTGTTGCTGGTAATCGTTGTGGTGGCGGCAACGGCTACAAGAAAATATGTGCACGTCTGCACAAGAGAGACAAGAGAAGAGACGAGAGACAAGAACTAAGAAGCCGAACAGGAAAGCCAAGCTGAAAAATCAAATTGTGCGTACTCCATGCAAGAGCCTATGCTGAAATTGACTGCACCCCAAACACCAGAAATGTGAGTACAGGTGAGTACAAGATCAGGCACATTCAGAAAGTCTACCTCACTGAGCTTAAAAGACTTAAAGCTCAATCCTGAGCAAACACCTCAACTCTCAATAACACTCGATATCTCTTGACATCCTCCCAATCGTTTTGCTGTTCTGCCTTAGCCAAATCGGCCCTGTTGGAGTCTTCAAGAAGCGGCCATGGAGCTGAACCTGGAAAGCCACAATGAACTCGGTGGAGTCTTCAGGTGAAAAGCAATTCTTACTGGGTAGTGATAAGGATGAAGTGTTGGGAGTGTAAGCTAATTTTTAAGTAGAATGCTGGATGCTAAGTAATAGTAGTAGCAGTAGCAATAGCAGTAATAATATTAGCAGTAGCAGTAGCAACAGTAGCAGTGGGACGCGGAAGGAGCGAATCCTCTGCGGACTGTGTAAGACCTGGTGGTGTAATCTTTTCAGAATTTCAAGACCGTACGTTCCTGTAGAATAACCCAGGTAGTCTACTGTGTACACAGAAACCTTCTACTGCAACACATTTGATGCCCATCAATGCCCTTCGTTCAAATATGTTTTTCCTTAGAAGCACAAAGCCAATCCTCCCAAAGCCAATCTGGAGATCCGTATCCTTCAAGGCGTTCACGAAATGCCTGCGGCAGTCGACTCTTCACCGGCAGATTTTCTCATGCAAGTTGCCAAGCTGATAGTCACTATCTGTCCGGCCACTTTGTCTTCACGAGTCATGAACAGGCTAGGGACATAACAAATGGTTCGACACAAAAGTATCCGTCCACGAAATGCAGGGTTCGGGCGCTGCCAACATATGCCCACCAATCCTCCATTTGCTGCTAGCTTTGAAGGTATGCGGTATGAGTGGTACTTCTCCTGTGTTCATCAGGTCTCCTCCAACCCAGCCCTTCTGGCGTCAGGGTACCCAAGGTGCACTGCTCCCTTTGGGAGGTCGGTGGGAGAAGAAGATGTGACCCTCCTCGGAAGAATCTCGCGCCCAATGACACATTTGAAGCAATTTGGTCTACCAGCACTTAATCGAATCAAGAATTGCAAGACATGTGTTTTTCTGCTGAAACAAACTTTTGATGAACATGTACTTGATACATACACAGCATGCTGATCTTCTCCACATGTTCCCATTCTGTAGAAGGACGGTGCGGTATATTTGGACTTAAACAAACCTCAAACCTTGTACTCTGGAGGCTTTCTCTTCACCCAATGATACATGTTGAACGTACAAAGAAACACGTGTTTTTTTGATAAAACACACACACACACAAGCACATGTCATCTAGATAAGTGTGTTGCAGAGACCTCAATGTCAATGTGCTGCGGCACTCTTGACACAGGATAGAAGACGCCGTCCAGTGCACAGCAGCCAAAAGTGCAGAACATGACATCAAGTCTTGCAACATCAACACCCAGTTCTTCTGTATCGTGGACCCCGACCAAATGCTGTTTCAAAGCAGCTAGGATGTGATGAATGAAGGCAGAGAACAAAGCACCTGTGTATGCTTGATTTGCTGGCACACAGCTGGCGCAGGTGCGAGGCAAATTTGCAAAAACCTCCCGCCGCATGATGAACTGACAAAACACGGATAGAATGAGGACCAAGATAAAAGCTGCCGCATTCACAAGTAAAAAATCATAGAGGAATCAAACAATATATTCTCTGATGTTTATGCAGCAGCAACGACAACAAAAGCACTGGATGTGATGGAACTATCAAAATAGAACAGACATGGTTTCACAACCACACACTGAGACAGCAAGTGAAATGGAATCTCCAGATACTCACACTGTAGAGGATGTTTTACCCCCTCTTGAATCAAAACATCAGCAACTGCCAAGCTGCGAAGGATTCAGTGTGGAAAGGTATTGACTGGCCTGCAAAAACCAATCTCCCAAAACTGAATCCGTGATTCAACAGAGCTGACGATCAAAAATCAATGAGCCTCTTGCACTGCAGCATGTCCAAGCCACACGCACTTTCCGCACATGTTTGCCATGAACCAACATCCAGCACTCTGTCCAAATGAATGCTACTGTTTGTTTCAGATTAGAAAAGCAAAAGACTCCCAGCCAACAACCTACTTCAGCATGCCTATGTTTGGTCATTGCTGCTCACAGATCCACAAACTACTTTCAGCAGAGTCCAACGAGTGCAAGTCTCTTTCCTTCAGTTGCCAGCGAGGCTTGGCACCGAGTTTAAGTTTCCGAGTGCATCGTTGGAATTGGATAAGTAATAGTGTGCTTGCAGGAGGAAAACACTACAACGCTGACGGTTCGTCGAAGCAGACTCAGTTGATCTCACAGCTGACGTGAGAAACTGGAGAGACATTAGCTGGATCCAGTTGCCTGCGTCTATTCGGTTTGACCATTGCTGAACTGTTTCCGTGAAGTCTTTTTTGAGTTGACACAACTGGTCCCCAAAAAACGGGCAAGAACAAATTTTTAGTTTTTTTTTCACGGGGCCCTTGGCTCTAGCCAACTCAGTGGCCTGTGCCTTCAAGGACACACAACTTTGCAACAAAGGCTAGCTAAGCCATGGCATCAACCCAAGCAACCGCATTGAGACTTTCAACTCACGCGCGCACGCCAGCCCAAGTCATCAGCCATTCCGGTTATGATCCCCAGACCGACGAGGTCTGACGTCGAAAGGTTTCAGGCTTTGAGCGCGTGCCAGGCTGGAAGCCTCCCACATGGCCAAGAGCCAACCAAGTGATTCCTCGACCCACTTTCTCTCCTCTCTTTCTCTCTTCACTTCCTCACCTTTTCCAACCTTCTCACTTCACAGCCCTCTATAGGAGTTGGAGAGTCTCTGCAAGAGCACATCCATGAGCAGGTGGTATTTGGCATGCGTGTGAGGGTGGAAGTCGAAAGGCTCGGACATCATCCGAAGACATGGTACTGCGCCGGCACCCATTCGCGACGAAAACCCCCATCCATGCTTTTGGCATCTACACGTTGAAAGTTTGGCAGGGCTGCCTTCGGGACTGCTTCTGGCTCGATGGTTCCCAGCTTTCCTCAGCCCTCAGGTCTGATAATCCCTTTCAGTGGGTGAGGGAATTTCCTAGATTTCATCACGACCGTCTCTAAAAAGACCGACTTCCGATCGTCCGACTGAAGGAGCCCAAGGTGAGCAGGGGTTCCAATAGTCCGGCCTGCTGACGCTCTTCAGGTGTCAGACCAGCAGTGAGCCAAGCGGATCCGCGTTTTGCAGCCAACTGGACTGGATGGGCTGTTCTCCGTCAGGGGCGCGTAGACTCCTTTTGGCCGCCTTCCATTTTCCCTTTCCTTGAAGGCCAGAGCCACATCAACTAGCGACGATAGAACAAGGTAGCTAAGATGATCAGGACGGTAGAAGATCATGAAGAATGCTTCGACAAAATGGCCATCCTTGGCTTCCTCACGGTGGGCCTTCCTCCTTCTGATCATCATTCTTCCCTACCGCCCCTGGGCCAACCTCCCTGCCTTTCTTCTTCCTTGCCCCCTTTTGATTGAACCTCCTCCGTACGCTGAGCTTTGTCCCAAGGTCGGCAATCATGATTGCGCCTGGAAGGTGCCGAACGCTCCAGTCCAAGTTGATGACTGTGAGTCGAAGATGGCATGTTCGCCAATTTTAATTGAGTAACCATCACCACAAGACCCATAGCAGCCAGATCATCCACGTAGAGGGTCTTGGTATAGGGCCCTTCATCATCTTGAACGTTTCGAAAACCTTCACCTCTCACATCTGATTCTGCAGTTGAAAGGGAAGGCCTTTCCAAAACACAAGAGCTCCATCGTGTTTCAGGAGTGGTCGGGAAGCTGGAGTCCGTGTAGACCACAATCCCATCCTTCTCCTTCACAAACCTCATCTCTCGTCAGACCTTGGTCTTCATCATGCTGACCAGCCTCCATCTCTGCCCTCCTCTTGAACATCCACCCCTCTGAAGACACCCTCTTCCAGCAATTCAATCAAGCTTCGCTCATCTCTCTCTCTCTCTCTCTGTGTTGTGATTTTGGCAGAACCCAATCCACGTGTAGGTCCCTGCTAGGATGTATTTCGCAATGTCCCCACCGTCAACAACCGGGAATAGACCTGCCATGTCCTCGCGCCGATGAGGTCTTGACTTCGCACTTGTTTTTTGGCATACTCAGCAGTCCATGCGAAATGGAAGTGTGGTCCCAAGACACCACCTTGATCTCTTTCTTTTCTTGTATAGATCAGGAACACGATCCATGAGCGAGAGGCCGGGCACCCAACGTGCCAAACTTAAAGACTGCACTCGCTGTCCAGGTCCATCCCCCTCTTTTTCGCTGTTGGATTTCTTTCCTGTGGTGGTCGACTGGGTCAGCGGGTTGGCCTTCTTTTCTCTCCTTCTTTGGACATGCCGGCCATCACGTAGAGAAAGACTCGTCCCCACAGAAAAGCACAATCTTCCTGACACATCGCCAACTCATCCTCCCTGTATATTCCACAGGGCTCATCCCCGAACGAACGAGACCTGCTATTACATGTCAGGGCAGAATGCTGACAAAGAGTGGCTGCATGGGCTTTGCTTCACTTCATCCTTCCCTTCTTCCCCCCTCACCCTTTTCTTGGAGGCCCTTTCTTCGAGGATCAGGCTCCAAGCGCCAATCGACCATCGGCTTCGGTGTCCATGGCCCGTCGACGGCGGAGCATGGAAGGTTGTCATGAAGACATGGATTCCATTTGCGTTGGGCTCGTAACCTGTTGAGCTGTTTCAATGAAGTTCTGTTCTAGTTGACCCACCTGCTGCTAATAAAACAAACAAAAGTGAACTCGCTGCTCGAACGTTGCCAACTCTGTGGCCTGTGCCTTCAAACACACATTCGACTGAAAGCGGGGCTTCGTGACACGATCAGCACAAAAGAAACATTTGGGCATATGAGAATGCAATCCGTGGTTTCGAGCCGATTTTTTAAATGTTTGAGGAAAGACATGTCTTCATGTCCAATGTCACAGCACTCAGCACTTGGCCTGTGTAGCCGACTGGTACTTTACGGCCATCCGACATCACGGACAACTTCAAGTCCCTGGCAGCGCCTAGGAGAAGGGAATGAATTTAAAGAACACTTAATCTCTGCAACTGGCAATACCGCATCCAAATAACACTTTCATTGAGCCGAGCAGTCATTCCAAAAAAGCACACATTGTAATGGACGTGTTCCAATTGACTGGTGGTAGCTTGAAAGGCTCTGACAGGATTCCAGGTATTCTGATGCATATTCCGGGTGTTCTTCAAGCGCAACATAGAATTACAACAGAAGACAAATGTCGTCTCCAACACCAGTTGAAGGCTAGGGCCTGAGCACATCTTTGTGGCACGACCAAAGAATTTTCATTTGCAAATGCGCAAGGCGTGACAAGGCATCTCACATCTGCCGTGTGGCAAACTCTGAGATCTTACATCTGAGCTTTTTTGCACGTGTTTGCTGTAAGCTGATCTGTTGACAGCTCTGACTCCATGACATTGTCTGCGAGCAAACTTGTTAGCAATTGTTCATACAAAACAACTCCACCATTCCCAGTCTGAACGCCTGAGCAGCTGCAGGGATTGTGACTCGTGAGCACGATGTTTGAACAAAAGTCTTGCACCGCGAAGGACTTGGGTAAATGGCGGCTTGTTGTCCTGAGAATTGTAATGTCCTTCTTGGGGGAAAAAAAGAAAAAAACATAACCAAAAATAAACAGAATGATGCCAAAATTCATTGTTTTGAAATTGTCTTTCTCATGCTGGTGCTGTCCTTCTCTATGCTCAAGCTTCAACTGCATCCCTTCGAAATCTGACTACAAAGCTCCTGCGGGTCTTTTGCACAGGCCAGATTCCTGAGCTCAAGACAAACTCTGCTTGCAGAGTTGAGCGGGCTGCAGGATACACTGGTGTCTTGCTGCTTCAGTTGCATCTGGAGTCTGGAGCGATTTTGGACTTAGAATGTGGAAGTGAATGGAAGGGAGCCGCTCTCTTAGAACTTCCCCATTATTGTTTGTGACTTCGTTGTAAAACGACCATGCCGAAGGGTTCTAAATCTGCAAAATGTTGATCAAAGTAGCCAGCATGCTTCACACAAAGTGAAAAGCCTGTACACCAGTGAAGTCATGAGTTACGCGCCGCCAAAAAAAACAGCCACAAAACACTCAGCACAGTGGCTCACGGCACAGCATGGGGCAGTTTAAGGAATGCATTCCACGATTGCCACACAATTGTCAAACAATACTCATCTATATATATATACACACATATATGACATATACATAATATTGTCTATGTCCTTTGAAGTTATATAGGAACAACTCATCTTTTTGTGGCAAGGAGAAAGTGAAATGTGCATTCTCTCCCCGCGCTTCTTCAAACTTTATCGGCAGCCCAGGAGAGGAAAGGCTCTTTCTTCAAGCATAGAAGAACGAGATATTATCAAAGTATACGCTCCTTTAGTGCTGATGGTTGCAAGCTTCGACTGCTACACTCTAGTGACACATGATTGTGCAGCCAAGCTCCTCTCGATCGATTCTTACTGCCTTCGTATGTGTGTGTGTGATTTGTCGTCAAGTCCATGATCTCGGATACTCAGTCCGCAGATTCCCAACTCCAGTGACCTTGGTCCAAAGTTCAATCAAACTGAATTGCACTTGATAGCGTTATAGTTATGCTCAAGCCGCTAGGGGCCGGTAGTTCAGTCCAAGACTCAAAAGCCTTGAAGAAGTGTTCAAGACTTGATCTTGTTTGTAGTATCAAGGGTTGTGTCCAAGACTAATTTATCCTGGAGGACAAGATTTGGTCTTGCATTCACGAAGTGCCCAAACGCATGACACTTCACTACAGTCATTGCAGCACTTGGAGGCTCGATACCGCAAAAAATACTGTATATATAAATATATAGTTCTTTTCCTTTGTGATATCAATAGAAAGCCATTTTGGCTGCCATTGGCTGTTCTCGATCTGTTTGCGCAGTTTGCCAAAATGGAGCCCTCGTGGTGGCCTGTACATAGCTTAATTAGTTCTTTGCCTGCCTAAGGTTTGAGGCAGTTGCTATCTGCGCCCTTTGGGAAACTACAAACCTCAACCCAAGTGCAGCATCTTACAACGATTCGAAACTGCACCTGGTCAATTTGTGTGGATAACCTGTAAGTCCATCTCGTATAACTGCGATAGTCCGGGTCATCACGTCACCTTCAACAAGCTGTGAAGTGGACCCTTCAGCCCACTTGGGCCACTGCACAGCATCTCTTAGAGATGCGGAGCGTCGTTTTTTGCGCAGGTGGACGTCCAAGCCGCTACCTCGCAATCTTGCCGAACAATCCCGTTGATGCGCTTTCGAAAATCTTGAAAGGGCCTTCAATATGAACAGCGGTCGCCTATGCTCCAGCCTGCGTGTCCAGCTTTTGGTGCAGAAGGTTGAGGTCCCTCTTGATGCAAACAACCTAGTAGTCGCTAGCTCTAGCTGCTAGCTATGGTTTCAGTGCAGCAGCGAAACACATATGTTTTTGAACTCCAAGGACAACAGGATATGATGTTCTGAGCCAGCGCACATCTATTGATCTAGCAGGGCCCTTCAGGCGCAAGCAACCTCAACACCCGGAGTATTCGAGACCCCCGTTTGTTTGACAAGAAAAGACATTGGTGATACGAACATAAAGTCTTGATTTCAGAGTGTCTCATTTCTTTACTGATCTAAAGGCAGGTTGGATCACTGCATCACTGTGAATTGAATTCAGGAAACCCTTTCATAGCTGTTCTGATTCAAAACATTCAAATCTATATAGGTAAGCCCAGCTATGATAGCTATGCTGAGCTGTTTGTGCACACAGTTGTTCTTGTGATCATGTTTGTCCATACTTATACATTGACCTCAAGTTGCAAAATGCGAATGGTTCCTGTCTGCAAACCAAAAAAAAAATCAGGCAAAGCGGCCATCGACAAACTCTTGAGGACCAACATGTGCGTCTCCATCCTCAGACAACCGGCATCATGATTGATTTGTGGGAATTGATTAATGTAGTTTTGCTTCATGTTCTGAGCGTTGGAAGACCAGCTTAGATTCAGACTGATACTTAGTTAACACTTCGGTCGGTCTGCTTCAGGAAGCGAGTGGGTGTTCTGTTCATGCCGGAAGTTTCTCTCGCCAAAGAAGCTGGAAAAAGGAATGATCGAAATGTTTCCAGCAACAGTTATGCAACAACAATGCGGTGTGAGCCGCACCATGGGCACATCGAAAGTCGGAAGCTGAAGTCAAGATTTTCTAAACAGCCTTCATTCATCAACTTGAGTTAAGTACCAAGGACCCAAAAGCATGCTCAGTGGCAGCGTCACACACACACACACACACTCAAGATAGTGCGCACTGACTCGATTGCGGCTTGCCACACGCCAGCATAAGTGACCATATAACTAAGAGTACAAGTACAAAGAAGCCTGGAAGGAAAAGACGACGTGCGCTCATGTCTGCAGAGCTCATTAGCCCTTTACTGGAGAGTGGAATCACGGCTTGGTCAACAGTTCAAAAAGGAGCAGGTACGTGGAGTTGATCAGACTCAACATCAGTCGTGGCATAGCCCTCTTCGTTGGGCAACCAGCTATGCTCACGAGGTTGCCCCCCGCTGCAATAAAATCAGGAAACCAGTAAACAAGAACCAATTCAATCGAATCCCTGTGACTTGAAGGGTTTCACACACACGCCTCCTACGAGGGAGGCAAGGTCGGTGTGCATGTGTGCGCACAAAGGGACAAGAAGGTGAAGACATGAGAAGGGGACACGACGGGACAAAGATGTATGTGGTTGTGATGAAGGAAAACCAAATGACTAGAAACAAACAATGACCCCCCACCTCATTGTCAAGACCTGGCGACCTGAGACCTGGGTTGAAGTAGATGTGCGTGTACAAGCTAAGGGCTGGGCCAATGTGGACGGAAGAGAAAGAACGGAGTGAGATGACAGGACATGAAGCTTGGGAAAGACAGGTTTCTCTCCCAGCAGGTACGTCAATCCGGCGTCCCGGATTGATTTCACAGACCAGTGCAAGCGTCTTTGTTAGTGCCAGACTTGCACGGTCCCTGGCACCCCCCCTGCTGAACAAAGGAAAAAAAATAAGAGCACAATCCAAATGGATCCCTGTGACTACAAGGGGCACACACACACACATGCGTAAGAGCTCCAGGCTCTCTGAATAGCACCCCACCCTGCTCCGTTTTGTCAAGGTGCGCTATCTAAGGTCCTGAACAAGTTCCACGCATCCGCAACAGAAATCTCCAAGGCGTCAAACACATTGATCAAGGCTGCATCTTGTAGTGCAACCTGAAGGTCACTGGAGGGAGGGTTGCCCTGTACGTGTTGAACTGCCCTGAACATGGAGTCATGGAGTACTCTGGGAAACCAACCCATTCCTTTGCTCGGCAAGTTTGTAAAGCTCCCGCCTCAAACTCTTCTGCAGTGATTCCACCATCTGAATCTTGATCAAGCCTGAGATGGAATATAAGTACTGCCCTGATGTGGTAAAGTGACACTGTATCTGCATGCAGTCAAACCGCCTGGCAAAAAGCCGCTTCACAGCCCTGAAATATTTTTGCCTCTCCACGGCCAACATCTGCAAGTTCAGCTCATGATCTTTGTCTGCACCTGAGAACGGCAAAACCTCTTTCAATTTCACTTCTTTGAGGCTTTGTGAAAGTTTGACAACAAGTTTAAGTATATGGACTTGTCCTCCTCTGAATCCATACGGATTCAGTGGATCTGATGTTTAGTTTTCGATTAAGACGTTGAAGGCCCTTGCCTTGCTTTCTGAATCCCTTGGGATTCAGTGGATTTTCCTTGATAGTTTTGACTCATCCTCTGAATCCCTGCGGACTCAGTGGATCTTTTCCACACCAGGGGCACAGATTTGCGTTGCCAAGTCAAGTGTCGTATCCTAAACTGAAGGCAGGTCTATTGCTCTGGTGGACACACTTGAAGTTATATACAGTAGCCTGTCACACAGCGTCAAAGTCTACTGCTCTAACGAACGTTTCAAGGGCAACAACTGAGCACAGGACTTTCAATGGCTGAGTGGCAAAACACCTTAGGCGGGCGGAATGCAGATTGCGCGTAGACTTCGAAGACGCGCAACAACCCTATTCGGATCACGGAAAGGAGAGGACATCAAAATGCACCCCCCCACGCCAACACCGCACAGTGGCCAAGCACCGCAACAGGCCCAATGGAACCCAGCAGGGTAAACAAACCAGTCAAGCGCGACAACTCAGCACAGCGGCAAGCGAACGAGAGCCACGAGCGAAGCTCGCAAACCAACGCACAGGGAACGAGCCAATCACGGACTGTGGCCGCGAACAACTTCCGGGCATGTCCCAGATAGTGTGGTGTGGTGGCACTGGTCGACTTTTTTTGGAGCTGTCTTGGAGCCTTGGGGCTATGTTGGGCTGTCTTGGGGGCTATGGTGGGCCAGTTGGATGATGACAGAGTCAGGAAAATTTAGCGGGAAAGCTACGACGGAGTCAGGAAACCGAAAACATGAAGCCCATGGAAAATTGGAAAGTTTGAAACTATGAGTCAGGGGCAGAGCCAGGAAACCTTCAGGCGAGTGAGTCAGGAAACCTAGACGGGAAAGCAGGGAAGAAACGGGTCCATGGAAGAATTGAACAGTTTGAAACTGTGACACGGAAGTGAGTGAGGAAACCTGGACGTCCAATGGAAAGGAGTCTGGGAACGTAGAATGGAAACAAGCAGAGTTGAACGCTTGAAGCAATCAGAAGCAGGATGGACACAAGCAAGCGGACTGCCCAAAATGAGTCCGTATCTGTTTGAAAAAATGAACCCTTTTCAGAGGACGTGGGTATTGACTGAGGCAACAGAGTTGTCAAAAAGAGTTCCTAATATATATATATATATATACAGTATATTAATAAAAAGGAGTACCCTTTTCGGAGGACATGGTTCTGGAGTAGGACGCGGAAAGCGTGGCCGCTGCGTTACAACCATGGCCTTTGGTTTCTTCCGGTGTGATCCGGCAAAAGTTTGGATGCTTGGGTTCTAAGTGCTCTATGCAGCAATTGATTTCACCCTGGCCTAAAGAGAACCGCACAGTCCGAAGCCTCAAAGCGTGCGAGTTTGCTTCGGATGATTTATGAATACTTGCGGTGTGTCCAGCAAGTGGCTTACTTGGCAGAATGCATTCTGGCAGCTTTAATGATGGGAGGTGCGTTATCAACACAGTCTGTTTCCATCCCTTTCTTGTGATTGTTGCACCCCGTTCTTCTTATGACAACTCTGTCTGATGACTTCATACCTGCAAACCCTGGTTGCCCACTCTTTCATCTGAGTCAATACCCACGCCCTCCGCAAAGGATCCCCCATATTTGTTTCCCCCAAACAAGCCCCATTAAGAAGACTTGCCCGAAACAAAGCCCAAAGAAACCCTAAAGATTCAAGCCCAAAACCAAGCCCGACCAAATCCTTGAGTAGTCCGCCCCATTCCGTGTCCAACACCCACCATCCCCACTACATGGAAACCGATTGACACCCACGCCAATTCGGTGAGCAATCACCAACACTTCAAACACATTCAGCCAAGCCCCAAACCAAGACTAAACAAACCCTAAAGAAGTTAAGCCCTAAAGCAAACCCAAAAAACCCTTAAGTAGCCCAGCTCTATTCCCCAAACAAACCCTAAAGAAGTCAAGCCTTAAAACAAAGCCCAAACAAACACTAAAGAAGTCCAGCCCAAAGCCAAGCCCAAAGAAACCCGCAAGTTATAAGCCAAGCCCAAACACACCCTAAAGAAGTCAAGCCCTAAACCAAGCCCATACCAAAGCCGATGTGAATGCCCTGCAAGATCCACCTCTGAAGGGTGTCCAACCGAGGGTGCACATCCACACATCACACCGTGCCCATCCAATATAGCAATGTCAGCAGGAACAACACTGCTAACCCTCAACGTGAAGCCAAGGTCCAACAGTTCAAGTTAGGAGTTGAAGCAAACTGCCCGTTTTATATTTTGGTCAAGAACTCTTGTGCAAAATTGTCACATTCCATGGAAGGCTAAGTGTTCGGCGCCAGTCATCACATTCAAGACCTGGTAAATTCACCGCTACATCAATGCAACTTCGGGAGCACAAACTGAGCGCCCAACTGCAAACAAGCAAAACGCAATATATGCTTCAAACAGGAGACCTGAGCATTAAGAACGCAGTTGGCACTTGATCTGGAGACTGTCCGGCGGTGCACTATCCCCAAATGAAAGCAACTTCGCATGTTGTCCCAAAAAAATGAATGAGCATAGCATCCAATAGAATTGGTGCAGTCCTTTCATACGAACACCAAAACATGTAGTTAATAAAGGCTTACGCCTGGCAGCCGGCCAAAGAGGGGAAGTGCTCTGGGCTATGTTGGGCCACCTTGGGGCTATGTTCGGTTACCAACCGAAGGCCTCCGGCTAGGACACGGGGCGCGTGGCCGGCGCCCGGACCCGAAAACACGGTAAAACATATGGCTTTCGCACACGTTCACTCCAGACGCGTCTCTTCGCAACCCCACAGACACAGTAAAACACATAGTTTTCGCACAGGTTCAATCCAGACGCATCTCTCCGCGACCCCAAAAGCTCTGTAAAACGTTCGAACATTCGGACATGTCCAGTCCGTGCTCTTTCTCCTCCGGTGGAAGAAATACACCCAGAGACCCAGTAAAAGAACAACATGCTAATATTGCAAGGCCACTCGGGCAGCATATCTCGCACCACGGGCCTTCCAAAACAACCTCACATCCATCCCCATATCCATGTTGCCACATGTTGCGTGCGTTGACTCTGCCTCGGTGGCCTACGCTGTCAGGGTGACTGGGGGGGAGGTCGGGCGGACGTCGACCGCAAATCCAGCGGCAAGGGGGCGCGCTCGTTAGTTACCTTCTCCGGCTGGAACACGGGCACAGTGGCCGGCGCCCGGATTTCAGCAATGCGCTCCCACCACCGCCGTTGTAAAGCAATGAGAAAGAGCTCAAACATTTCCCATCAGGAATATATCATACACAAATATGATGATTCTTTCTTGAAGAGAAAGCTGTCGATTCAGTAGCACACAAAAGGTCCGTCATCAAGCGTGCTTTGGGGTGTGCTGTTCCAGTGTACACCTCAGATGCGCCCTGTGTACCTCCCGCTCAAGCATTGTCAAGGCTAGCTTTCGTGGTCTCCAAAGCAAAAGTTTGGTGGATGTCTGCACCACTGGCGCAGGCTTCGGCCACTCGAACTAGCTGGATTTGGGGTGTCATTTGACTGATGATGTTTGCTCATACATGTTCCAAATATATACATCCAAAGAGCACATTGAGTGCCGATATGCTTCTCCGCTAAGTTCAGTTCTTTCGGGTGAACGTGTGTCGAAGAGCATCTTGTCAAGGGCAGATGTCTTTTGATGTCTTTTTCTCCCTGGCAGACCCCATCTTGTTCTGCAATTAAATCTGTTGGAGATTTGATGAACGTCACAAGCTCCGTACATTACGTTACATTACCGAACATTACATTCCATTACATTCCATTCCATTCATTACATTACATTACATTACATTACATTACAGTACAGTACATTACATTACATTACCTTCATGACATTGCATTATTACATTACAATTACATTACATTACATTACACTACACTACAGTACACTACACTGCATTACATTGCATTACATTACCTTACCTTACTCTACATTACATT